AACGAGGAAGGAAAGGGCACCCACCTGACCCCAGGACTGGGGGGGGGTGGGGAGAAGGTGGCTGAGGCTCACACCCCCACCCAGTACTGGCGTCCCCACCCATCACCTAAAAGTCACTGTGAACCCGGCCCACCCCAGGGGTAAGCCCTCAAAGGCACTCCTAGAGGCGGGGGACAGCGCGGGGCCCTCACCTGGCAGCCAGCCTTCTCCAGCATCTGGGCGTACCGCACGGTCTTGTCGATCTCCGGGAAGACGCGGATCTTGCACGTGACGGGGACGGAGAGCTTCTCGTGAGCGAGCAGAACTGGGGAACGGCAGCGTGGGTTCCGAGAGGCAGGCTGTAGGGGCCCACCCGCAGGCGGCCGCTGAGAGCCCCGCCTCCCACCCCCGGGCGCCAGGAGAGCCGGCAATGGGCGAGGACGCTGCCCCAGCACCCACTATCTGGTTCTAAGGGGGCGGCTGGCATGGGACGGGCCACTCTTCACAGCTGCCTTCTACCACAGGGAGAGCGCCACGGCCAGGATTCTGCTGGCCACTGTCCTTTCCCGAGCCCTGCCAGGCTGTCGCTGGGGCTTGCTGCCGTCCACAGCGTGGCCCCAATCCCCGCAGGGAGCATGTGGCCAACTCACTCATTCTCTGGAGCAGGTCCCACTCCTCCTGCAGAAAGGCGCCGTAGTGACCTACGAAGGACAGACATGGCCTCTGCACCCCTCCCGCAGCCACACGGGCAAAGAGCTGCCTGGCCAGGTTCTATTCTCCACGTGGCCTGAGCGCACGAGTACTGAACGGAACGCCCACCCTACACGGTCTCTGGTCAACTGGCACGTCCTCAGGCCCAGGGACAAAGGCCAAGATGCCAGGGAAGCAGCCACTGGCACCCAAGGCAACACGAGAGTGTTGGGGCGGACCTCCTTTCAGCAAAACCCGTTTATCCAGAGGGAGTCCAACAACATAACCCAGCAACAAAGTGAGCGACTGGCCTGTACCAGCCAGCTGAACCCCAGCCCCTGACCCTGGCACCCGAGGTGGGCTGCCATCCAGAGGGAGGAGCAAAGAGACAACTGGCTGCCGCCTGGGCTGCCACCACCTGAGGCAGGGCCAAGCCTGCGCCAAGCCCTCACCTCGCTCGCTCCCAGGGCACCGGGGCTCAGAGCCACACCTCTTCCTAAAGCAGGCACTCACCGCGCTTGGCTATCATCTGCGGGCAACCCAGATTCAGGTCGATGGCGTCACAGTAATCCTGCGCCAGGAGAGCCGCCTGGACAAACACCTCTGGGTCATTGGCACAGAACTGGAGGAGACGAAAGTTGCCATGAGCCCCAGCCAGGCCCCAGCCCCCAAGCTGCCCCGAGGGGTCCACGTGTGACCAGTGGGGGTGTGGTCCCGGGGATGAGCACAGGAGGCAGCCCGTCCCAAATGCCACAGTGTGACTGAGCTGGGACGCGTCCCCAGGCCAGCAGCAGGCTGAGTGAGAGACTCACACGGAAAGCCGGCATCGCTGACTTGGCCAAGAGCAGAGCCGTTCTTTCAAACGGTTCTGATAAGCAGGGAGCTACAAGAGACACGTGTGGGTGATGTCAGGGCGCCAGGTGTCTTTCACAGCACCCAAGCCGTCTGTTCGCCAGACGTCAGAGACTGCTCTTGGAAAGGGGTCAGTCTCGGACAAACGGCAGCCCGTGGCCTCGAGGCCTCCCCGAGGATCTCAAGGAGCTGTTCCCAGGAAGGCTGAGGGAAAGGCACCCTGCTGGCCGTCTAGGGCTCTCGCCCTGCCCACCTGCACGATGAGGGGCCGGTCCTCGGGGCACACTTCGCAGTACAGGTTCTCTTTGCGGTAGTTGGCATCGCGGACGAAGACCTGGGCATGCAGCATGGGCGTGTAGCACAGCTGGGCCCCGTGGCGGCGACTCAGCAGCCTCCAGGCCAGCTCGCTTTGGTCCACCATGGGGGCCACCACGTGGCGGGCCCCCCCCAGGGTGCGGCTCCAGAACTCGAAGCCCTGCAGCTTTGGCATGGTCTCCACACTAAAGGGAGAAACCAGGGGCTGAGGTGCGGCCTACGGAGAGCTGGTGCAGGCACACACTGTCCTCGAAGCCGCTCCAGTGGAGGCCTCGGGCAAGTCACTCAACCTCTCTGAGCCTTGACCCCTCACTTGTTAGCGGGATTAAGATGTCTGCCTGGCAGGACCGCTGTGACCAGTCAATGAAACGTGAATGCAATGTCCTGTTGGCACCTGGCTCAGAACTGGCCACCATAAGCAGCAGCTATAACCTGCAAGGCCCAAGGACCCCACCACCGCAGGATCACCCTGTGGCAACAGCGCTGGAGGCCGGCCTTCCCTGCCCAAGGTGGGTGCAGGCGCTCACCTGGCCACACTCTGCGCCCTCCCCCGGGTGTCAGGTGGTCCTGCACAGGGACTCAGAGTACTCTTCCCCTCGGGCTTTACCTGGGCGGGCCAACCTCGCTGGAGGCATCCTCCCCTACGAGGATTCAGTGGGCGGCGGCGGCGACGTGATTAGGACAGGAAAGACCAGGAGGGACAGGGTGTGCGGGAGGCTCGGTCTGCGAGAACACGGACTTCGCGTTCTCTTACCTAGTTCTGAAATTACTAAGCAGGGCCACCGGCTTAATAATCGACTAAGTGCCCAGCCGCAGGTTTGACATTTTCGGAAACTGTGAAGTTACAGGCAGAAGTCACCCAGGCCGCCCATGCGCTGCCCAGACACACCAGCGCACGAGCGCGTCCAGCGCGGCGCGCTCCACCGCACCCGCAGGAACCTACCTGGGCCCAGCCGGGCCGCCTGGGTTTCCGATCCGGGCCGCG